GAGTCTTTGTCTGATTTGCTTCTACATCCCTTGGACCAGTGGTTCTCAAACTCTGCTACACAGTAGAATCACCTGGGAACTTTTAAAGTCCCTACGCCCAGGCCACACCTCATATCAATTAAATTGGAAACTCTGGGGGCACCCAGGCATCGATATTTTTTTAAAGCTCCCTAGGAGATTTCAGTGTGCAGCCAAGGTGGAGAACAGTGCCCTAGATCCTCGCTACTCAAATGGTGGCCCATGAACCTAGTAGCTGCTCGCACTCTAGCATGTGGAAGAGTCACTGGACACCTTGTTGAAATGCTGATTCTGACTCAGCAGGTCTGGGGCAGGACCTAAGGTTCTGTCTGCCTCACAGGCTCCCAGGTGATGCTGAGGCTGTTGGTCTAAGGAAGCACATTGTGTGGCCCTACAGCAGCAGCTCTCCAGGGGTAGTTTTCTCCACCAGGGGACGTTTGGTAGTATCTGGGGACATTTTTGATTGACATGATGTGGAGGATGCTACTGGCATCTAGTGCTGGTAAACATCCTACTACGCACATGCCAACCCTCCCCAACAACGACCCAGCTCAAAAGGTCAGTGGTGCTGAGGATGAGAAACACCACCTAGAGCACCTAGCGTGGACCTTCATGTAGGAGGCCCTCAGTTTGAGTGAATAAGCAAATGAATGAATGAACAGTTTATACCCACAATGATTTTGTTGTTGTGTTGTTGAACTAACCTGGCCAACAGACTTTTATTTCTCTTTTGGGGGAAGTACCCAATAGACACACCCTCTATCTGATGGACAAGACACACTCAATCTACAAACATCTGTTGAGGGCCTACTCTGTGCAGCCCATTGTGCTAAGGACCAGGTGTGGCCCCTGCCCTCAGAGGGCACACTCCCAAATGGCAACAGACATGCATCGAGCACTTCCCTGTGCCAACTCTGGACTAGCACTTCGCACACACCATCACACTGAGTCCTCACCAGGTAGGTACTAATTTTATACCCATTTTACAGATGAGGAAACTGAGGCTTCAAACTTGATTAAGTAATTTGATCGAGGTGCTAGAGTGAATAAGTGACAGATTTGAACCCAGGTCTGTCTAACTCAAAACACCCAAGTTCTTCTGCAAAGGATGAAATCCTAAGTGACCAACTGTAATACATTTGCCTCTGTCTTAAAATTGTGGTCGGGTTAGAGAAAGGACTCTCGATACTGGAGCAGGCGGGGTGGGGGGTACTCCCGAGGATTGGAGCGTTGAGAAGACCTCAGAGGCACTACATATGCCTGAGCCCCTCTGGTCTGCTGAACAACACTGTGGTCCCCTAGAGGGCTGACAGGTAGGGGGAGGGAAAAGGCAGGCAGAGGGGCCACCCCGGGACAAGGGCGTGTGAGGCTGGCCAGCATCTCTCAGCCATGCCAAGTTCCTGCCTCTGATGCCTTTAAAGTCAGGGCCTGCCTCTCCATTTACACCTTTCTCCACATTTTATACCAAAGGAAAAGGCATTTAGAAGAGAAGACATAAAATACCCTTTATTACACTCGTAGAGCCAGTGGCCTCTCAGGACTGCCAGGAAGGAGCAGGAAAGCGTGACAACTTGCATGTTCAGGTCAGTTACAGTTCCCAAGTGCAAAATGCGAAAGAAGCTTCTGAAACGCAGAAATTCCCCCCCATATGGAGCATCTCTACAGAATAATTACTCCCGACTGAAGATAAAATATGAACCAAAGAAGAGGAATAAACATCAATTCAACAGGGAGCCTGGTGGTTTCTAACAGATAAACTTCCCGTCTTCATGCAAAAACAAAACTAAACCCTGCAAAGATCATTGAGTGTTTTATCTCCCAAGGATTCATGGCCCAACTGTTTGTAAAGAAACCTGAAACGGACAGTTGTGCCCTCTGAGAGTTTCCTCTATAAACTGCTCACACAGACACACTCAGCTAGAAGGAGATGAAACTCAAGTTTCAGCAGAACTTTCTCCTGTTTCACTCTAATCCAAAACTGTCCTCCCCATCAGCAACCACACGCTCCCCAAGTCGTGGTGCATCAGAGAGCCTGCGAGCACTTGTCCAACTAGCTTTGCACAGCGGTCTTCCTGCAGTCCTACTGCAAATGCCATCGGCCACGAGCAAAGGAAAGCCAGGGCCAGCATGGCACAGAGGTGGCAGCTTAACTCATTTTGCAAAAAAGCTGGAGCAAGGCTACAGATGCAGCTTCCTCAGACACAACCCGAGCACAAGACTACTTTACACCACTGCCACCTCCTCCAGAAACAATCTAGAACATCAGTTCACAGCAGGCTCACCTAGGGCCTTTACCGCACACAGCAAGGAGGATGCTTGCTCACTACAGTGCCTGGGTTTGTTGAAAAGAGCACTGGTCTTGAGGCCAGAAGAACCGCATTCAATATGAGTCAGATCAGTGGCCCTCTGCGTGGCCTTAAGAAAGTCACACACCCTTTCTGGGTCTCAGGTTTCTCATCTGTAAAATGAAGAGAGTGAAGGTCTTAAAGTTCCTTCTGGTTCTAATATTTCACGACTGTGAATGCCTGAGCCAGGCATGAGGTGGTACCCATCTCAGAGGGCGAGCATCCCTGCTACCAGGCCTCAGGAGCCAGAGGAGCATCTGCCCCAGACGCCCTTCATAGGTAGTCCGGAAAGGCAGTCTGGCCTGGAGCTGAGATCTCAAGCCCAGGCTTGGCACTCCCCAAAATTCTCACGTTCTGCCAACTCTGGCCATGCACGTTTAAATACCAGCTGCTGGGTCACTTGCCAGGAAGGGTCTCTCCCTCCAGTTATTGTGCTATAGTGTCTGACAGTCAGGCATGGCCAGACAACCGTCAGCCCTGCCCCTTCCTCTAGGACGTCTGGGATGAGCTAGCAGCTCAAAACGTTGCACCAAGATAGTCGGCAATTTGTCCCATAAGATGCACTCAGAGCTTGTGTTCCGCTGATGCGGCCTGGCCGTGCTCACCCACACAGACGCTCACTCCCTCCCACAAATGGTAGGTTTCATCCTCTTTGCAGCCACTCTTGGCAAGAGGTTAACCCCAAAGCCCTAGTTTCCCCAAGGAAGAGAATGCCTTCCCCACAAGTGCCGATGGCTTGACCTCGCATCAAATACAATGTTGCAACACTGAGGCCACCCCCATGGGGAGGCTGGTGGCTACAGGATCCGAGGTAGCTTTAGAGGGTAGTGACAGATTCCAAAGAATTCAGGGCAGATGCAAATGAACTTCAGCAAATTTCAATTAGTCCATGTGTCAAAGCACAAGTGTCTACCAGTAACCTGCTTTAATAATAGTATTATCATTGTTCAAATGATGCTAGTCACAATAATGATGGTAATAATAAAAGCAATTACCCCTGATATTTAAGTGCTTCCTGCATGCCAGGCAGGCACTTTGCTAAGATCTTTACACATATCGTTCTTATGTAATCTCCATAATGTCTCTGTGTGGTGGACCCTAGCATCATACGCATTTTACAGGTGAGGAAACTGAGGCTCTAGGCCACAGACTGTGCTCAAGATTGAAGGGTCTAATGGTGGAGCTGAAAGTAGATCCGGCCGTCGGCCTCCAAAGTCCTGTCTGACCTGGTTTTCCAGGACAGGAAGCCTCCAACTCACCTGATAGCGAGTGGGGTTGAATTATTCAGCAAGCACGTATGGGGTGCCCACTGTGCGCCACGCAGAGCATCGGCTGCTGGGTAACCAAGAGCCACGTCTGCAAGTCTAATGTTCCCACGGAAACAAGATCATGACTTATCCTCTTGGCCAGAGGCCAACATGTATCCGAGCAAACATTTCTAGACAGAGAATTCAGGATCATGACGCCCATCTCCTGACCCTGCGTCAGAGGACACTGAGGCCCAGGAAGGGAAGGAAGTGCAGTCTCCTGGAGAAGACACACAGTGAGTAGACAGGAGGCCGTGAACAACCTGATCCCTCAGGAGTGTATGAGCACCGGGCTGGGGGCCAACAAACCACATGCATTACTTGCCTGCACCCACCCACTTACCACGACCCTCCGTCCAACGGAGGAGCCTGTGCCCAGAGTGTCCTGAATGCCCATCTCAGCTCCTCCCTAATGAGAGAGACCTTGGCTTCCCTTCTAAGCATCTGGCCAGGGTGCACATTTGCTGGGTGACTGCTGAGCGGGCTGTGGGGATGGAGCTGCCCGCAGGGCTCCCCGCAGCTCAGGGACCTTGTCCTTGGGCTCTCTAGGAGCTGGCAGGCCCCAGCTCTGTCATAGTCACCGGCTATTGAAAGTTGGCTTTGTGCCGGGTGCTCTGTGTCTTGCCTCCTCCAATCCCCACTTAAACCCCCCTTTACACCCCAGAAGACATCGGTAGCCCCACTGACCAGTGAGGAAGTGGAGGCTTGGAGCAGTCACATGACTACCCAAAAAGGCCCCCAGAGTTGGAGGTGAGATTTGAACTTTGGCCCACCTGACTCACCCCTGCCCTCCAGCGGGATTTCATCCCCAGCCTCACTTCCGGTCCTTCCTCTTCCAGCCCTCCTTGCTCACCTGGGGCAGCTTCCAGGCCCTGCTCTCCTCCACCCAAGGGTGCCTCTGGACCGAGAACTCAGCACTGACCGGCGTCTGCTGTGCACTGCGGTCCTCTCTCAGGACCCTGCCCACCCCCAGGGCATGGATGCACCCCTCTCTGGAGGCTTTTAACCCCAAACACCCTCTGCCTGCCTTGCAAAAGGAAAGAGCATTAAAAGTATCAGTAATTAGGGCCGGGCCCGTGGCTTAGCAGTTAAGTGCGCGCGCTCCACTGCTGGCGGCCCGGATACGGATCCCGGGCGCGCACCGCCGAACCACTTCTCCGGCCATGCTGAGGCCGTGTCCCGCATACAGCAACTAGAAGGATGTGCAGCTATGACATACAACTATCTACTGGGGCTTTGGGGGGAAAATAAATAAATAAATAAATAAATCTGTAAAAAAAAAAAAAAAAGTATCAGTAATTAGACCTGTTCCAGTGCTTTCCCTGGAAACATAGAACACTTTCACAGTCTACGTCTGAACCAGCAGGCTGCTAAAATATTTAACACTGGACAACTCAACAGGCACTGAGAAGAAAGGGGAGGCCGAGATGCAGTTAGCTGGGGCCTCTTGACACTGCACACCCCACAGTAAGTCTCTTTCTCATCTGCCAGTTTCTCAGGACACGAGCAATGCAGAGATGGCAACTGGAAAACCCATCTCAGCCGTGGACCCATTCAGTCTTCTCCCCAGGCCCAGAGAGGCACCCTTGCAGGTGTGGCCACTGGGGAGGTGTGTGCAGGGCAGGTTCACAGATTAAGTGCTGCTGTTTGGGGCCAGTTGACTCGGTTACCTGGGGCCTCCTTACCAGGCTTGGGCATGAGGTTGCACCGGCTAAGCCAAGGCCTCCGGTTGGCCCAGTGGTGAACCTCCTTGGCTCAGGTACCGGAGATTCGCCTCCTGCTGGTCAGTGTCGCCGGGGCAGTTGTGCCATGAATACACCCCAGTCTCCACTATGGGCACACAGCCACCTGGCGTTCCCATCTGCACAGCCAAGGGGTGAAAGGAGGAAACCAGTGCTCCGTGAGCACCACCAGGGCCCGAGCCCTTGCAGGGCTTCACACGCAGACCCTCACGGAACCACAAGGGCCCTAAGGGCGACAGTTAATCTCGTACATATACGTGAAGAAACTATGTCTTTGAGTCGGGCTTTCCCATGCAGAAGGCACTAGCCCCATGTGGCCATTTCAATCTCTATTTTAACTAATGAAAGTTAAATAAAATTCACAATTCAGTTCCTCAGTGGCCCTGAAACCACCTCACCCCGAAAATGACCCTGCATTTTCAAGTGGCCTCATTTCAGGTGCTCAGTAGCCACATGTGGCTAGTGGCCGCCATACTGGATAGTGGAGATACAGAACATTTCCATCACTGTTGAAAGTTCTAGTGGACAGCGTTGTCTTAGAGAGTCACCTCCCCAAGATTCTACCTGGCTAATAAGTTAATGATCAGGGATCTAAACATGGATCTAATGTATGAAAAACTTTCCAGAAGAGAGGTTCAAGTCCAGCTCCAACTCCTATTAGTCCTCTGACCTCGAGGAAGCTATGCCAGCTGTCTGAGCCTCCATTTCCTCCTCTGCAAACAGCACCCACTAAGGGTTGAGGTGAGGATGAAATAGATGCTGGATGTGGAAGTGCTTTGGCCCCAAGGGAGGAATAAGTGAAAGGGGAATTATACTGAGGACTTATTTTGTGTCAGACACTCTAAATAAAGTGGCTCACTTAATCCTAGGTACTATGTGCCCCCATTTTACAGGTGAGTAAACAGGTTCAGAGGGTGATGCCCCCAAGGTCACAGAGCCAGAACTTGAGCTGGAACTTGAAGTCTGTCGACTTTGAGGCCTGTGCTTGTCCCACAGTAGGACTCAGAGTTCTATGATCTTCTTTCGGAAACCTAGGAGCAGGTTTAGGGTGGCTGGCATTCCTGGGAAGAACCGCCCCCTCCCCTGTGGCAGGGTCCTTAGTTCAGCTCAGGTGTGAAGGGGGAAACATGCTGTCAGGGGCCATCAAGGGCCAGCATCAGTTCTAGCTCTGCTGCCAGTTAGCTCCCTCGTCCCTTCCCTTCCCTCTTCAGAGCCTCTACAAGAATGTCCCCAAGTTTCTTTCCAGCTCTAACCAGCTAGAGTCTAAAATATCCATTTCTCAAACATTGCTATTGAAATACACCTGCATCCAGGTCCAACGCAGTGGCGTCCACCAGCGGTAGTGATGAGAGGTTCCAGGAAGAGAAGCCAAGTCAGTTTGGACACAGTCATGTGGAAAATCCCCACCCTGCCCTGAAACTGGCCCTTGGGCCCAGGGGCAGCACGGCAGAGGCCACGGGGCAAAGGGGCTCAGAAACTCAGAGGCGGAAGCCAAGGCAGCGACGTTCCTGTCACAGGCACCTGAAGGCAAGGGAATCCAGCCCCCTGCCTCCCAGGAGGCTGCCGCCCTCGTGTGGGTGCCTCACAAACCAGCTTTCCAAAGGGACTTGGCACTTTTCCAAAGGACAAATTCACCTCCAAGAAAATTCGTTTTAATTACAGAACACAAAAGCTTCAGAACATAAAGGCTACATTTAAAAAGGCCCTTTGACTTTTATATATGATGGCTCACAATGATTGAAGCTGTTGATAATAATATAAATCCATGTCATTTGTAGAGTCTTTGGTTCCTGAGTGCCTTTGACCCATGTGACAAGCTTCTTTTGAGCCAAACAGGGCTAGTGGAGCCCCCACTTGACAGACAGAAATTAAGGCACAGGGAGGTTGAATGGCTGGAAACAGACTCTCACCCAGGTCTCATGTCTCCCTATTCCTGCAGGGTCTGTTACCATGTCATCTGGGGACCTTAGGCATTTTCTCCTTTTGCTTAAGTCCCAGGATGCTTTTGAATAAATACAGTTAAAATTATAATAGTAGGGGCCGGCCCCGTGGCTTAGCGGTTAAGTGCATGCGCTCCGCTGCTGGCGGCCCGGGTTCGGATCCTGGGCGCTCACCGACGCACCGCTTCTCCAGCCATGCTGAGGCCACATCCCACGTACAGCAACTAGAAGGATGTGCAGCTATGACATACAACTATCTACTGGGGCTTTGGAGGGAAAAATAAATAAAGAAATAAAAATTAAAAAAAAATTATAATAGTAGTTACCATTTTTATTAGACACTTACCATATACCAGGCATTACACCAGATGCTTTGGAAACATTCCAATTTTATCCTAACTCCAACCCTAACAGGGAAGTATTATTTTTCCTATTTTATAGATATGGAAACTGAGGGTTGAAAAGTTAAGCAGCTGATCCAAGGCCACACAGCCAGGAAGAGGCTGCTGGGATGTGAACAGGTCTGTCTTACTCTACTGCCTCCCATGGGGAAGAAAATTGCTCCAAGTGAAAGGAGTGTCTGAGTTGTAGCTCTGAAATAGCCCAGTACTTCTCAAAAGGGAGTTTAAGATAATAGAAGCGATGTAGTATAAAATCAAGCCCAGAGGATCTCAGGGGCGGGGGGTTGGGGGGGAGCCTGTTCTCCTGGCTTTATCTACTAAGAGAACTTTGCTTGAATGCTTTCTTCTTTTCCTTAATTTATACAGCTGTAGCCATCCTCTAAAACCTTATTCTTAAACTCAAAAACATGGTGTCACAGCTGGTAATTTTAGAAGGAGGAGGAGCGAGAAGGAGGAAAGAGAGACGAAGTGCAAGCCAGCGTGGGAGGAAGGGCGGGAAGCAGCTCCGAGGCCGTGTTCAGGTCCAGCCAGGACTTCCTCGGCAGGATGCCAGCTGTCCCTGTCTGTTCCCCCTCCCTTAACTCCCTCAACTTTTCAACCCAACTGCCCTTCATGAGTTAGCGCAGGTCTACACAAAGACCCTAAGCATCTGGGAATCATTTAATTCTCTCAAAATGCACCAATAATTGAAAATGATACTTTTCCAACCATTTCCCCAAATGGAAAAGAAAAGACCCCTTTAAATAAATATTCAGCAGAACCAAGCTTGGTGATGTCTAAGATGGATCCAGAACTACATATCTGACCATCAGTGACAGATAATCAAAATGCCAAATTCTAGACTTTCCATCCACAAGGAAGAGAGTCATATGCATACAAAGTCACAATCAATTCAAGCACCTTCTGTAGAACAATCTAAAAATAAAGTGAGGCTGTCGGTGGGTCCCAGACTCTTCCACAGGGAGGGACCACACAATGCATGGAAATCCACAGCAGAGCCGTCTGTCAGCGCCTGCTTCTCAGAGTTGGGGATGCATGTGTCCCCCTCAGGTGTAGGGTGGTGGCTGGAGGTAAGCAAAGCCACAGGACACCCGTGACACATCCACCAGCAGTGCCAGTTTGACTTCAAAAGTTGGGAAATAAAGCAGTAAACATATTTGTGCTCCCTATATCTACATATGTATGAGACTAAGTTATCCAACTATCCTGTCTTCAAGATAAAAAAGAGAAATTTCTTAGATATTGAATCTGCTCTCTGGTATCAGCTCTATTCAAGTCAGCAGAATCTTCAAAATTCAGTAGATTCAACAGAAGCATGTCACCCGCTAACCAACAAGAGAGTAGAAAATTGGGTTTTGATGTGCTCTGCTCTTCTCGTGGCAACTCAAAACATAGTTTTTGTGTTGAAATACAATACAATACAGTACACAATGAAAGACACACATGAGGTTTTACAATAAAACGCAATCTCAAAAATTTTTAACTTGAAGCAGATCACTGTGGGCTACACCATAGAGGTAAGAAAGAATTCCCTCTCTTCAGCCATTACGATATTTTAGCAGACAAAGAATTAGGTATTAGCAAAGAAAAACGGCCAGGTTGGAACCTCAACCACAGGATGACAGTCTCCACATGAAGAGAGAAGAGCTCATTCCACAGAACTGTGATAGGGAACCTGACACCCGCCAAGTGCCAGAACGTGCCAGCATTGCACTTGAATCAATTATCTCGATTAGCCCTCACAGCAACTCAATGAGGCAGGGACAGTTGGACTCATCCCATTCTACAGGTGGGCACACCGAGGTTATGTATGTAACCAGCAAGGGGCAGAGCTGGGGTGTGAATCTGGAGCCCCTGCTCCGAACTTCATCACCACTCCAGCTCCTGGGAGTTTCTGCTGACGTGTGGCCACCCAACATCCTCCAGACTGTTGCTGAATTTCACCTTTATGGGCAACACCTGCAGCTCCCAGGACACCCCCCCCCCCCCCCCCCCGGCAACACCTGCAGCTCCCAGGACCCCCCCCCCCCGGCCTTGGCGGACTTTCTCTGAGACCCACCCAGGTCCACTGCACAGCTCGCTCATGGTGAACGGGTTCACCAGAGGTACTGAGCCTCCGCCTCAAGGCAAAGAAGTATTTCCAACGTTTGTGTTAAACTTGTAGGAACAAGGTTGCTGGACAGAGAGACAGGGGCCTTTGGGCTCCCCATTGGAAGGCTTGCCCTCCTGGACCACTGTCAATAGCTGTTACAGCTCCGTGAGGGGCTGGGGTGTCCAATACGGCAGCCACTTGCCACCTGCGGCTGTTGAGCTCTTGGAACGTGGCTGGTCCAAACTGAGATGTGCTGTGAGTATAAAATACGCACCCAATTTCAAAGACTTACTATGAAAACAAGAATGTAGAATATCACCTTAATAATTTTTATATTGACTGTTGAAATCAATCATTTCTATTTAAACATTTACAGAGCTGGTTTTTTCCCTCTGCCATCAAAATGATTTGCAAATATAAATCTTAGAGACTAAAAGTTGTATGACTTATCACGGTTGACTGATATGATGTTGAAATGATAATATTTGTGATATATTGGTTACATAAAGTATTTTATTAAAATCAATTTTACCTGTTTCTGTTTTTTAATGTGGCTACTAGAAAATTCAAGATTGCATTTGTGGCTCATGTCATATTTCTATTGGACAGAGCTGGTCTATACCTTCTGGAGGCCTACTTTAGACGTAGTAGGCCTATGTCTACTAAACATAAGCTGGAATCTGCTGTGGCCTCTTTGTTCAGATGTTTCAGCCTCTATAATTTCCCTCAAGGGAGGGGAGTCAGAGGTCACCCCACCTGGCGGGCCGGAGGGGAGAGTCCAATCAGAATTCTTCCCAGAAATCTTCAACCAGTGGGAGTGTAGAAGAACTTTTTCCTAAGAGCCCACAGCACAGGAAAGGCCAGCCCTGTTCATCCTCATTTTCTTCAAGGACCAGGACAAAGCAGGTTATGGAGCCAAATGTTCTAAACAGAAATAGACATCGAGCCACAAACACAAGCCATGGACATAAAAGCCACATAAGTGATTTAAAAAGTTTTGGTAGCCACATTAAAAACAGGAAAAAGAAATAAGTGAGATTAATTTTAATAATATATTCTAACCCAGCACATCCAAAATATTATCATTTTAACATATAATCAATATAAAAATTATTAATGATGTATTTTATATTCTTTTTTTCATAATAAATCTTCAACGTCTGGTGTGAATTTTACATTTACAGCATATCTCCACTCACGTGTGACGAGTGGTGGCCAACTTGCATGGCACAGGTCTAGAGGGTCTAAAAGTCCACCCCCCGACAGACCCTCACCCAGAGCAGAGTGAACCGATAAACCGATCGTAACCTAAACGTCCTCTGCTCTGTCAACTGTGATAAGTCACACAAACTCAGCCACTAGGATTATGTTTGCAAAGTTTTGATGGCAGGGGGAAAAAACAACTCTGTAAATATTTAAACAGAAAAAACCAACAGATGAAAATACACTAAAATAATAAATAACAGTCCTCATTAGGTGATGTGGTTGTGAATTTTTCTCTCTTTCTTTATACTTTCCTACCTTACAAATTTTCTAATACTAATTCAGAAATTGTCATTTTAAAATTTAAAGTGATTAAGACAAGAAGACATGAAACACGTATTGAACTACTATATGTCTGTCCCTGAGTTCTCCAAGAAAGTGATAAAACCTCTCGGGACATTGAAGAAGGAGCTAATGCATCATTTGTGGGGAGTGGGAGGATTGTTCTAGTCAGACTTTTTCCTAAACTTTAACTGGGAATGTCAAAAATCCATACCAGCAAGGGCCAACGGGCGTTGTGTGCCAAGTCAGCAGCAGAGACAAGTGTCCAATGCAGATTAAACTTGCATCTGTCTCAGCAGCTCACGCCTGCATCTCGCTGGCCCAGAGTTATGAGACCCACCCTTGTGGGGCAGGAAAGGCAGCTGGGTATTGGTGGAAGCGCTTAGACTCGAAAAACAGGTGATCAGGCATTCTTTCAGCACGTGCGAAATATGAATCAAATCATTTATAAAGTGCCTGCAGCTGTTTGGTAGGATACAGTGGCCTGCCACAGGTACTAATTTCAAGTCCAACCCTGCCCTGCTCATGCACACATGTGCGTGCGCAGACACGCACAGACACACACACACACACACACACACACACACACACACACAGCATGCCGGAACAGCCAGAGGTCTACGGATGCTGCAAAGCTTATTCACAATGTGTCTTTGTCCACAATCTCTCCTTTTCCCCCAAAGGATGAAACTTCCGAGCAGCAGCTTTTGCACAACCGTAGGTGGCATTTCACTTAGGGGAGAACAGGCAGGCACCCTGCAAGTGTGAAGGTCTGGGATTCACAGTTACAGCTGTCACGGGTCCCCCTCTAATCTCAGGATCTTTATGGAGCATGACTGCTGTTGGTGATTAGACATTCCTGCTTCAGGCATTAAATCAGTGTTGAACTTCTTTGCCTCAAAAGGTAATAAACTGGATTAGTAGTTGTCCACGGCTCAGGGGGGTGGGAGGTTGGGGCGTGATGTCTAAGGGGTGCAGAGTTTCTTTTAGGGGGTGGCACAATGTTCTAAAATTGACCGTGGTGATGGTTGCACAACTCTGTGATATACCAGAAGCCATTGGATTGTACACTTTAGATGAATAAATTATATGGTATGTGAATTACATCTCAATAAAGCTGTTTTTTTTTTTAAGGTAATAAGCTCAGATATGAAGCTTACTCAACCTCTGTGACAACCAGGGAGCTTATCGTCCTCTCAGGCACATCGTTACCTATGTAAAGAATGGGAAGGCTATTTGCTTCTTTCTTATATAAGGACTCATGTATAAGCAGGACGCTCCTTTGCAAAACATCCAGTATGTCTCTGCTGAAGGAAGGCATCGTGATTCCCCAAGGCTGATACTTTTTCACTCACCTGTCTGCTCCTCCCGCACTTCTGGCCTCATCTGAAATGACCTCGCCCATGATATTTGGAGCATCCTTCTCAGGAACCAAAGGTAAAGTGGATGGGCCGGGCCCAGGGCTCCTTCTGGGATAACTAAAGGAAGCAATAGATGGTAAGAGAGGCATTCTCTCCATGTCCTATTGAAAAAGCCCATTTCCCAGTTAAAGCTTTAAGTGACTACTTTGTCAAAATCCCTAGAAAAAAATTAGCTTCAGGCCGTCAACAGCTTTGAGACGATTTTCGATCATTTAGGCCTCTCTGCATAAATAAACCCAGATTCAAAAGCACATGTGTCTGGACTCCGAAAAACATGTGATTGACTCTAACCCATGACCCAAGAGTGCTGCCAGCCAGTAAACATTTCATGCTTTTCAAACAGTTTGAGTTGGATGAATTAAAGAACATGTTAAAGGAACAGCTCCTGCACCTCCACCCACTGCTCACGTTTTTCAGAATCTCAGCACATCCGGAGATTGTAAGCAGGTAAATTTAAACAATTAGATATGGAAAAATTAGCTTCTTAAAAACCACCCATCTGTTTGACTTTTAGAAACCAGGGTGGGAATCACTTTTGAAGCTGACCTCACATTCCCATGAGAATTTATTCTTTTAAGTACCTCTCATCGTGGAGCGCTTCCGGAGCCAGGTTTTGCAGCTTCGGGTCCCGAGTTTCGTCAGGATCTGGAGGTGAGGAGACACACACGTTTCCATCCCCAGCAGGAGCGGGGAGCTCAGGCCCTGGCTGCTCGTCAGTCTGCTGGTGCACAGCCGGGCTGTCCCCGCACAGGGTGGCTCCAGCCTCCATCCCTGGAGCCCCATCAGAGCAGCCTCGGTCCCCACGGCTCCCTGGCAGCGCCGACGCATGAGTCTCACTGGAGAACATTCTTGTAGTACCTGTTTCAGGCAGGTCACCAGACACACGTGCTCCAGTCTCAGCTGTGCTCAAAGTGACGTCACCCTCTGCTTCCCCAGCAGCTCCTGCCACGGAGCCGGGCTCCAGGGGAGTGTCCGCCACTTCTCCAGCAGGTGGCTCAGGGGCACTCTGGTTGCCCAGGGCATTTTGTGTTTCTGAGATCCGGGCAGCACCTCCATGCCTCCTCTCACCCCCAAGTGTGTCGGGGGTGCAGGGCTCACTGATGGCCTCGGCCACGATCGGAGTATCCCCATGGGGAGCAGATGCTCCCAGGGCAGAGGTGGACTCTGGCAGGTCACCCGGAGCCCCTGTGTGAGCAAAGCCCCAGGCACCATCTTCTCGGGGTTGACTGTCGCTGGTGGATGTTTCCTGGTGCTGCTTTCCAGAAGGGATTCTGTTGTCTTGAACTGCGTCCCCTTCTCCGTGGCTCTGGGGAGCCGCCTGCAAGTCAGTAGCTTTCTCCACGGGAATCTCCTGAGAAGCTGTCTGTGAGGAAAGATCCAAAGCTGATTCCTGCCAGCCGCTTCCTCCCTGCGAGAGGGCCTGGCCTCCAAGCCCCTGCCTGGCTTCCCCAGCCCCCTCTGGTTTCTCACTTTCCTTCAGCACCTGTGGGACACCAGTCATTTCCGTCCCCACACTGGCATCTGTCAGCTTCTGCTCTGCAGCCGGCCCCACCAGCCCTGGCAGCTTTTCTGGAGCTGGACCCTCGGGAACTAGACGGGAAATCTCAGCCTCTACAGCCAACTCTTGCTTCTTTTCCTTAGAGTCCACCCAGAGTCCAGCAGGAGGGGTGGGGAGAGGGGCAACGGCCACTCCTGGAATCCCATCTGGAAGCTTCTCTGGGCTTAGCAGCACAGCAAGGTCCTTGCCCACCACACTCCCCCCAGCTCCTGCTTTTCCTCCTGGTGCGCTCTGGGGCCGATCGGCAGTCAGGGCTCCGAGCACAGACTTCTCAAAGATCTTGGTGATATGCTCCCTGAACTCAGAGAACCCAGCGATCAGGCTGGTCTGCTTGGAGCATGCGTCCACACCACCTGATGTGTCCCTCCTCGGATCCACAGAAGGTTCCATCATCCTCTCCCTGCTGTTCTCTGTCCCCCTCGCTGCATCGCCTGCCACGCCCTCCTCACCAGCACGCCCTGCTGGAATATCACTGGGCTTGGCACCCGCATCGGGAGCTCTTGCCACTTCCTCCTCTCCTGTTGTCTGCTTACTCTTGGCCAGAAGTAGCATCCCGTCCAGGTAGGGCATGGAGTCCACAGGCCCCTCAAGGTTTCCAGCTTTGGGACTTCCACTGCTGGTTTGCATCGCAGATGTTCCTCCATCTGCAGATCCTGGTGGTGAGAGGGAGGCAGGGGAGCCGGCAGACAGCTTCATGGAGGTGACATTTTCCAAGGCAAGCAGGGGCTCCCCTATGGGACAAGGGCTTTCACTAGGAGCCCTGGGGTCTTGAGAGGAAACAGCTTTCAACCCACTGTCTTCTGGCCCTTTCCTGGCAGCGCCATCAATATGCAGGTAAGGAGTGTCAGGAGCAGCCTCTTCTGGTGGCGCAGATGGCAGCAGGCTCTTTGGGTCGAGGACAGCCTGGGGTGCAGAAATGTCCACTGTGCTCCTGGGAATTCCACCCTGCTCTCCAGCCGGCAGTAAGGCATCCTGGCAGCTGCCCGAGGGCTGCTCAGCTTGGCCAGTATCACCTAGGGCAGAGGTAGAAACTTCCTCCCCAGCGGAGGGGCACTGCTCAGTCTGAAGGAAGCCACCACTCAGAGCAGCTTCTCTTGGGTCCTCCAGAGCCCACTGCATCCCCAGGTCTCCTTCATCAGCGTTCCCACCAGTCTCAGCAGCCCTATCTTCTACACCCTGCTCCTCGGCTGGTGAGAAACTTCCAAGAAGCTTTTGGGCCTCTGCATCTGAGGCAGCAGGATGCTCCATTTCCTTTTGCGGGGCCGGCACTGGTTGCTGCCTGCCTTCCTGGGTTTCCCCACACACCTCTCTCTCTGGAGCATCCTGGGTGGGTGTGACTCTGGGACAGGCAAGCGCTGGCACTGGTGGGCAGTGAGCTGCATCCAGGAAAGCTACTGAGTCAGGCCAACAAGGCGGGGTCGCCACTGTGTTCCCACTTGCCTCCTCAGTCTCACCCAAGCCCTGGAGTGGGGGCCAAGAGTCAGCTGCTTCAGAAACGCCTGCACCCCTGCGACATGCTTCTTCATGCTGGCTGCTGGCTCTCAGCACATCAACCAGCTCCTGTTGGGACTTGTTTGACCCCTGCCCAGCACAGCAACTTTCCTTTCTGCTCAAGCTACCTGCAGGAGAAGAGTCTTTTAAGGTATCCGCTGCAGGAGGCGAGACCCTGGAGGGCTGGCCGTCACTGCACGGTCCCTCTTGCCCGTTCTCCCCCGTTGCAGGCAACTCCGGTCTTATTGGTGCCGACAACTCTGACTGCTCTGTTGCAGGACTGTCCAGAAGTGTGTCCCTGGGAGCTGAACTGGGAGCATCACACAGACTGCCTTTGGGGAGCTCACTTTGAAGTTCTGGTCCGGAAGCTGGCTCCTTTCCTCCGTAAGTGGGTAAGCTCACATCCTCCTGAGGTTCCACAGGTACGTGGAATTGGGGAGAGTCCGCACCAGGGCTCTCAAAACCTGGATCACCTGGAGAAGTCACTTTCCCGTTTTCACACGGTTGGCCCTTCTCCCTGTGCACATCAAAGGCGGATGTTTCTGGGTCCAACTGGGATGGCTGTAGACAGTTCTCCGAAGACAGTGAGGGCCCCTCAGATGCAGCTACTCGTGTCCCGCTGTCCCGGGGGCAGGACGGGTTTCCCTGCCCATCTTGCTCCAGGCTGAGCATGGTGAGTCCACAGTCCACTGCCAAGGTCTCCCCCTCGGGGGGATGTGGCCCATCAGCACGGACTTCCTGTCCAGCCGCATCACGCCCCAGCCCACCGGGTTGGTCGGGGGATGTCCACAAGCTCTCCCCATCAGGGCTGCCGGGCCTCGGCGTGGATGGGTGGCTCCTCGTCTGTATTTCAGATGTGCTGTCCGCTTCCTGGGCTTTGGGGACCACCTCTGCATCAGGAGTTGACAGGAAATCTGACTTCTCAGATTCTAAAACAGGAAGAGAGTCCATTCTTCCCAATCCCCCGGCGTCCTGAAGTATGTCAGGACATTTGGTCTGCAATCCTGGCACCTCCCAGACGGCTCCTTCAGGAAGAACGTGTTCACCAGCTCCATCCAGTCCAGGGGGCAGGACGGGATCCTGCTCATGGAGCTTGTGCAGTGAGCCAGATGCCTGGACCGTATGGGCTTCTCCCATCATCCCACAGGCCACTGAGCTCCAAGCTTCATCTTCTGACAGAGAGCTGGGCCTGTCCATGGAGCCAGCACCCTCCTCTCTGAGTGGCTGTGCTGAGTCCGTGATGGGAGGAACTTTGCTCTCCACATTGCTGGTTAGCTTTGAAACCTCGTCTTTCTCCACCTCTGGGTTGGGCTTGTAGCTGAAGGCCTGGGGTTGCTCTCCCCGCAGGTTCCCAGGATATGCACTGTCAGGTGGCTCTGCAGCTCCTTCCTGTCCTCTAGGGTCAGCCCCAGGTAATCTGCTTTCCTCTTTAGCCACAGCTTGGCTTTCGGGGGCCTTGGCTTCATCCTTCAGCCCCAGAGACTTTCTGGCACTTTCATCTGATGCGGTGGGAGGGGGAGGAGGCAGCACCCCTTGTTGGACTTCATGGCCTTGCTCCTTAATTGAGAGCTCTCCCCTCTCCTCCTGGGATGCAGGCACAGGAACCTCTCTGGGGCTCCCTTCTGGACCCTCTCCCTCACCTCCAAGATCTGATATGTGCTTCTCCTGTCCCACCAACCTTGCATCTGCCAGCTCGTTGGCTGGATCTGTAGAAACTGGCATCTCAGCCCCAGAAACCATCTCCCTGGTCAACCAGCTGGGTTCTTCTGCAGCAACAGAGGCCTGAGCAGCTGGCGGTGAATTGAGCCTTGAAGCTGGATGCACTTCCGCCGTAGGTGCGTGTGGGGAAGGCTCAGTGCTCTCACCTAAACCCCCTTCGGGTTGGTCACCTGCTGCCACACAGACAGCTTTATTGGGCTCGGTTCCTGGTGTCCCTGTCTGTGAGTGACCCTGAGCATCACTGGCATCCAAGTTCTCTTTCCCAGAGCCCCCAGGCCCTGGCACCAGGGCAGGACTTGGAGAATCCCAGGGCTCCGCGTGTGGCAGATGTGCTCCCATTTGCTGCTGGCAGCTTTCCCAGGAAGCAGCGTTTGCTTCAGCTTCTTGGGCAGCCCCTGAATTGCTCCTGGTGGGATGGCAGCCCCCAAGGAATCCGAACTCATCCGCTGAATCTTGAAGTGGCACCTCCACTTGGCACTTCTCTCTGTCTGAGACTCTGGGGGCTGGATCTTTTGGGATCGGGGTCTCGGGTTTTGGAGGGGACTCCTCCAGGCCAGCTGAGCTCTCTGTGTCTGACTGTGCTGCAGCAGGGGCCGTGGGAGCCACTTGTACAGAAGCCACCCCCTGCCCGGACTCTGAGGGGGAAAAGCCACCTGCAGCCTCTTTCCCTTGGGACTCGAAACCACCAGGCCAGCCGTCCTCTCCACACAGCTGTTCCTTCATCGGCTCTGTAGGAGGTGATGGTGAAATTCCTGGCCACTGGTCAATGCAACTGGAGGAAGACAGTTTATGTCCCTCCTCCTTCAGGTCTTTCTCTCTCCCAGGACTGGGGACGATGGCAACCACACTCCGCTGGGTAGGGCTGTCCTCCTCAGGGACAAATGCTGCCAGGGTGTCCTCCGGGGCATTTGGGGAAGGTTCCCTCCTGGGGTGTTGAACAAGAGGCCAATCTTCAGGTGCCGCTGCTGGGCTTGCCAAGCAAACTTCCGGGGGGCCCTCGGCAAAGGGCATGGAGGCTGAGGGGCACTCCTGCTCCCTGGGCGTTGGTGGGCTAGGCTGTGGAGAATCTTCCTGTGAACGCTTCTTTGGCTCAGTCACCTCTGGAAACTCGAGGCATGGATCCGGGCTGGCAGCACCCTCAGAAGCAGAGCAGGAGCCTCCATGCCCAACACTGCCAACAATGAAAACATTTAATGTTTCATGGGTTCTCCTGGATGCAAGGGCAGAGCCATATCACAGGCAGAATCACCAAACCCTCTCCCCGCTAAAGGCCACTAACCACACCAGCCCCATGCAGTTCATTCCTCTCCCTTGCATCCCACCCCTCCCATAACCATCACTCATGCCCTCACTCTCTCCGAAAAGCAATGCAGGGAATCTCAAACATTCCGTTTGGGGTTTCCCATGCAGGTTAGTAGCGAATAGGGAAATATGGAAACTAATTCATAATAGTCTAAAATGTGGGGAACTTGAAGTTTTTAATCAGTGTAAACCGTAATAGAGGGTTTGAACCAGTTCTGTGTAGTTTACCAGGAGCTCCCGGACACTTCTGGGGATTTTTGGATGTTCAAGAAAAAGGCCCAAGCAGGCAAAGCCATGCTTTGAAATAAAGCACTATTCGTGATAATAGTTAACTTGATTCTTCACATCCAACAGGTGGTTCTGTGAGAGGCATAATCCAAAAATCAGTTCTACTGAGCTGTGGAATTTCTGCAAATGACCCGTGTGTGACTCTTGGGAGATGAATTCCCTTCATACCCATGTTGGTCTTAACTTGAACTTATTTAGCTGCACAACGTGTGAAGGAAAACTTTAAAACATGCAAGAAACTTGGGGGGATGTGGCTCAGAATTATGGACTTGCCGTAGACAACCAATTATCCAGTTATTGCAAAATAACTTATCACCTACCGTATTTGGACTGTGTTTCTCATTCCTATATACATTTAATCAAGTGCATTTTTTAAATTTAAAAATAATATATGGCCAATACAAAATTTTAAAAATGTAGAAAAAAATATCTCCTACTTGAAGTGCTCTAGTGAATTTCCTTTTTTTTTCTACAAAATTTTTTAGGGGGTGAAATTTTTGTTACTTTTACATAGCTGTGATTCTATATACTCGTTATGATCATATATTTTTTAGTATCAAGAGAAATTGCTTAAGGCAAAGTTGACAGAAGTATGGTTCTTCTAAGGCTTTTACCATGTTCTTTAAAATTATTATAGGGAGGACAATTTATGGAATCTTCTTGTAACTGGTACATACACACATTCCCATA